GCATTCTTTGCCCGGTTCGGGTACACCCCGAACCGAACCAAAATTTTCTGATTCGTGCCAATCTCTACGGAATACCAAAGAGAAGAGACCTTCCCTGAATATTTTAGATGATTAAATTTTCAAATTAGATTTGGTATAATAATTATATTAAAGAATGGGGTATATTCGCTTTTGTGTTTGACTAATTACTCTCCGGCTGCACATCCCTTGTCACAAACTGCTCACTGCTTTGTCAGTGATGAGTCAGAAAGTCCTCTAGGGGAGAAGATTGGAAAAACGGATTTGTTTTCCTCGTAACCGAGACATGAACCCCAGAGGTGTGCAAAGGCAGGTGGGGGGCCCAGTCAATTCCATGGACTTATTTACAAGGTTTTGGTACGGTGCGATAATCCGTTGAGTCCGTGGGGACAAAGACCGAAGAATGAATGTGCTTTTCAGAAAGATCCCCTCAAGAGACCGACCAGCAGCGTGCTTCCAGAATGTTTGTGAGATAGCAATGCAATAACATTTATACACAGCACATGACAAAGCTCACCAATCCGTTTACAAAATTTCGGGTATTATTTTTGAATCGCATTGCAACGAAAATTCAGTTGAGCTGCCGGGATGCCAAAGCAGATTCAGGTACAGATCTATCTAGGTACCAAATCAGCTTCAGATCCCTCTGAGCCTATGATGGCATTACTTGGTCAGCAGAGTTGCCAATCTCCAGGTGGTGGCTGGAGAACTCCGGGGATTACAACTAATCTCCAGGCAACGGAGATCAATTCTCCTGGACAAAATGGCTGCCATGGACTCTAGAGCATTATACCCTGGTGAAGATGCCCCTCCCCAATCCCCTCCCTCCTCCCAAAACTCTACCCCCCAAATCTCCAGGAATGTCCCAACCTGGAGCTGCCGACCCTATTGATCAACCACACAGAGCTGCCTTCAACTGAGTCTGTCAAGGTCGGTCTTGCCTACTCAGATTGGCAGTGGCTCTCCGGGGTCTCAAGCTGTGGCCTTTCGCATTGCCTGCTACCTCATCCTTCTCACTGGAGGAGCCGGAGATTGGACCTGGGACCTTCTGCATGTAAAGCCAATGCGCTGCCACTGAGCCACACCCCTTCCCTATCCTTCCACTCATCCATTTAGGTTTATTACATACTCCCTAAAGCCCCATACAATGGAATAATCATCTGTGCGTTAATCTTTATCTGAAACTTGGGTGCTTGGGTGACCGGTCCTCAAGGAAACCGTGCCAGGGGAGGGAGCAGGGGAGGGGGATGAGGCATTAAAATGTGGTGTCTCGGAGCAAGTCTACCCAACACATCAGGGTGTCAACCTCCAGATGGTGGCTGGAGATCTCCTGGGGTTACAACTGATCTCCAGGCGAGAGTGTCAGTTCACCTGGAGAAAACATCTGCCTTGGAAGGTGGACTCTGTTGCACTGTACCCCACTGAAATCCCTCCCCTTCCTGAACCACGCTCTGTTCAGGCTCCACCCCCAAAACCTCCGGGTATTTCCCTTTCGAGACACCGCAACCTTATCAAAACATGCAATGGCTTAGTTTTATCCTGTAGTTCTTTGCTGCTAAACCTGAAGCTGGGACAACACTTCGGCAGGATCGGCTAAGAGGAAATATCTAACTGGGTGCATTTATTATCCCTGTAAGCGGATCTCTGTTTAGCTTTGCAGGGAGAGACACCACCTCCCTCGCCAGACCACTGTCTGCTCCAGCAAAATGACTGACAGCCTACCCTCCAACTTGCATGCCGGCACGAAAAAAGAAAATCGAATACTATGAAATAAAGTTGGTAGGAGATCCTTGCGTGCAACAGATCCCCGATGTGACGATCCGCACGACGCTGGCTTTATATAATGCAAAAACCATTTGATCGGCTGGGCAGGGCAGAGTAGAAAAGCAGTCTATTTTTCTTTAATGATTACCAATCCGGAATCACAGGTGGCAACTAATAAATTATGAATTTCCCTTTCCTAAATATATGTATGATAATGAAACCGAAGCTCAAATACTTTGGCCACCCAATGAGAAGGGAGCACTCACTGGAGAAGACCCTGATGCTGGGAAAGACTGAAGGTCAAAGAAGACGGAGACGGCAAAGGATGAGATGGTTAGACAGTGTCATAGATGCAACGAACATGAAATTGAGCAAACTTCAGAGGACGGCGGAAGACAGGAAGGCCTGGCGTGATCTGGTCCATGGGGTCGCGAAGAGTCGGACTCAACTGTGCGACTGAACAACAACAACACAAATATATGTATGTATGTATGTATATAAAGGTTTCCCTTGCTCAAAAGCCAGTTGAACTCAACTCTAGGGATGCGGTGCTCATCTCCTTTTACAAGCCGAAGAGCCAGTGCTGTCCAAAGACGTTTCTGTGGTCATGTGGCCGGCATGACTAGATGCCGAGACGCAGGGAACGCTGTTACCTTCCCACCGAAGCGGTACCTGTTTACCTACTTGCAATTTCTTGCTTTCGAAGTGCTCGGTTGGCAGGAGCTGGGGCCAGAGACAGGAGCTCACTCTGCCACGCGGCACTCGGATCTCGAACTGCCGTCTTCCCCGAAAGCAGTTCTGACTTAACTCTGTATACTTATTTATTTATTATTTCGATTTATATTCCTTCCAAATACAAGACTTGGGGGCGGGAAGTGTGTGTGTGTGGGAATTTCCAACAGTGCCAAGAAAAAACAAGGGAGTCTCTTATTTTATATGTGTTCATAGACATTTTTATAGAAGAAAATAAAGCCCAAAGGACAAGGCAGCTTTCCCCCCCTGTGGATGGGCGGGGAAAACGGGTTGCATAATTTAAGATTGTAAAAGCGGAGGGCTTCCTCTCGCTGCCAGCTCTACAGCCTCGAGAATCTATATTCTTGAAAGGGCTGGGTGGAAAACAGTGTACAGCCACTGCGGACTGAGGAGGGGGCTGTGCCACCTTGATTTATTTTCACCCCGCGTTCGACCCAGGCACAGAGGAAGGATGAGGCCTTGGCGCAAGGCGATTTCCCCCCTACAACGCTGCTAAGCCCAGGGCTGTGTGTATGCCACAGACTGAGATCACAGAAAAGAGCAAAGAACTAACAAAATTTGTGGCAGGGGGTGAGCTTTCATGAATCCGGTATCTCTGAAGAAGTGAGCCGCGACGCACGAAAACTCCTCCCCTGCCACCGATTTTGCTAGTCTTTACGGTCCTCCTGGACAGCAGCATGTATTTGAATGACAGAGTCGGCGTCAAGACAACGCAATCCCACGCAGAGTTGCTCCAGTCTGAGCCCACTGATTTCTGTAGGCTTAGGCCGCTGGAACTCTACATAGGGGCGCACTGCTCTTTTCTACTGCTACAGACAGACAAACCCGGCTACCCATCTCGATCTATCTCCATGGAAGACTGACACTGTGATCTGCGGAACACTTTCCTCAGAGTAAGCCCCACTGAATAAACAGGGGCTTACTTCTGAGTAGGCCCGCTGGGCCTCGCCCCCTCAATCGTGTTCAGCTGGAGAAAACGGGAGAAATTACGGGGTGCCCCACCACCTCTGCAAATGTTGCCAGCAGTGCGGAAAAGCACCTCTACCTTTTGGCCTGGCACTCCCCCAGGAGAAATCTACATCAACGTCACCCTCAGGTGAGGTCATCCCACAGCCAGAAATGATTGGCTGTGCACTGCTGTGACATCGCCACTGTGCAATATGTGATTGGGTGGAATCAGCTAGGCCACTAAACTGAGGAACAACAACCTTTGGGGGGGTGGGGGAGATGCCACAGAAGGAAGCAAGAGACAGAAAGCACCATTTAAGTATTTCAGGGCAGGGGATGTCTGCCTTTCTGAAGTTCCTAGTCGCTACCTGCAAAACTGTAGTCGCGGAATGTTCTTGGTTCAAACAGGCTTTCCCTCTCCCGAAGGAGCTCTGTCAATTGCATCATTTTGATACAGAGAATACTCTTTGATACAGAGAATGCACTTCACTAAAACTACAGTTCCCAGGGTTCACTGGAGGAAGGCGCATCACCCCAAACAGGTATAAAAACAACACACGCGTGTAGTGAAGATATGTTCCGAGAGCAGCTCCGCTACTGGGCAAACTGGCACCTCAGTCATGGAATACATTCTTTTGCTTCTGGAGTTGTGTGGGCTTCCAGGCCCCTCTCAGCTAGTGGGTGGGCGAGTTGTCCCCTTCATGTGGTCCAAGCTCCTGTTCTGATTTTAAGTTCCCAGGTGAAGATGCCCTTTGAGATCACCAACCTGCATCAGCCACTACTCTGAAAGGAAGGATGCTTGTGGTATAGGACGAAAGTTTGGTAGCAGAATCTTGGCCAGGACGAAAATTCCGTAGCAGAACCCTGGTCAGGACGAAAGTTCCGTAGCGGGATCCTGGTCAGGACGAAGGTTCCGTAGCGGGATCCTGGTCAGGACGAACGTTCCGTAGCGGGATCCTGGTCAGGATGAAAGTTCCGTAGCGGGATCCTGGCCAGGATGAAAGTTCCGTAGCAGGATCCTGGCCAGGACGAATGTTCCGTAGCGGGATCCTGGTCAGGACGAACGTTCCGTAGCGGGATCCTGGCCAGGACGAAAGTTCCATAGCGGGATCCTGGCCAGGACGAACGTTCCGTAGCGGGATCCTGGCCAGGACGAACGTTCCGTAGCGGGATCCTGGCCAGGACGAATGTTCCGTAGCGGGATCCTGGTCAGGACGAAAGTTCCATAGCGGAATCCTGGCCAGGACGAATGTTCCGTAGCGGGATCCTGGCCAGGACGAACGTTCCATAGCGGGATCCTGGTCAGGATTAAAGTTCCATTTGCCAAAGACCCACAGTTTTTATCCTTCACTGACATGCAACATTCTGCCCGTTGCTGAGAGCACCTAGTGGGGGGGAAATGGAACAGGCCTAGCGAGCTCTACCACAGAGAGTTTCTCCGAGTATCTGGTGGCCCTTCTGTTACATCACCACGAAGACTCATTTTTCTTTGTGGGTCTCGGCTTCACAACTGCTCCTCATCGATCCAGATGGTCTTGCGCTGCTCTTCCGAATTCCTTGATTATCCGGAGCAGGTCGTCCACGCTGCTCCACGCTTCAGCCTCTAGGGGGGCGTAGAGGCAGGGCAGGGACTCCAGCTCTTTTTCATTCTGACGGCACATCCGTAGAAGTTCCTCCTCCACCTCCGGCTTTGGGAGCAGCTTCCTGAGACATAAAAAGGGAGAAGAAGATAAACACGATGCTGGTTGCACGCGCGCTTTCCCCGCACCTTTCAACAGATCCCCGTGGTTGCCTTCTGTGCATATGAGCAGAAAGGATCCTGAAGTTGATGGCAGTGGTCAATTCATGGCAGCACGGATGGGATTCAGATGGCACTTTGGCGGCTTCCAAATGGAGGATTTGCTCTAGCCCAGGGCTATTTTGGGGCAGGAACGCACCGGAACAGAGTTCCGGCTGGCTTCAGAGTTGGCCACGCCCACTACAGCCAAAACCTCTGTGTGCAAGGCTAAAGAGGGAAGGCCTGGGGAGAGAACCCACCCGGCAACTCCGAGGCGGGCGGGCCCTGGAAGGATCGGGGAGGCATTTAAATGCCTCCCTGTGCCTTCCCCAGCCTGTCCAAGGGCCGGCTTGCCCGGGCTTGCCGCAGCCGCGAGGCGCCCGAACAAGCCAGGGGAAGGCAGTTTAAACTCCCCTCCCCTCCAAGGGCCAGCTTGCCCGAGGCTCCCTGCAAGGGAAGGCATGGATGTGTGGCCTAATATGCTAATGAGGTGCACCGCCAGGGGTGAGGCCTAATAGGCTAATGAGTTTCTACTGCCAGGTGTGGCCTATTATGCTAATGAGTTCCTGCTGGGCTTTTTCTACAAAAAAAAAGCCCTGCTCTAGCCTGTTTCTCTAACTGGAGCAGAGGGTCTGTTTATTTTATTTATTCACTTGTCATATTTACGGCTCGCCCTTCCCACGAGCAGGCTCAGGGCGGGTAGCAGCACATGATTAATACAATAGATATAACTAAAATCTTAAAACACCGTAGCACAATGTTAAGATTGGTGTTCACAGCCCAAAGTCAGAGATTGAGTGTTTGGGAGAGGTTCCCTGGCCCGCTGGTACCACATCACCCTACAACTGCTCTCTTGTGGAAATCAACACTCATTCTCCTATCTGTGTAGATCAGGCCTAACTCTCCATTACTGTAGAACCAAGTTTTAGTCCAGCGGCACCTTTCCGACCAACAAAGTTTTATTCAAGGTGTGAGCTTCCGTGTCCAGGCACGTGTTCTCAGGGACACTGAATTGTTCCATTTCAACGTTTCAAACATTTCAAAGGAACTGCGGTGGCTCAAGTGGTTAAGACGCTGAACTGCAGGCTGTGGAAGGTCGGTAGTTCAGCAGTTCGAGACCTGGGTGCCGCATGACAGAGTGAGCTCCCATCTCTAGTTCCCGCTCCTGCCAACCTAGCAGTTCAAAAGCAAGAAATTGCAAGTAGATAAATAGGTACCACTTCGGTGGGAAGGGAACAGCGTTCCGTGAGCCTTGGTGTTTAGTCATGCCGGCCACATGACCACGGAAACGTCTTCGGACAGCGCTGGCTCTTCGGCTTTGAAATGGAGATGAGCACCGCGACCCTAGAGTCGGACTCGACTGGCTTTCGAGCAAGGGAAACCTTCACCTTTACCTTTTTACGTGTTCTCAGGGACACTGAATTGTTCCGTTTCAACGTACCTGAGGAAGTGTGCGTGCACACGGAAACTCATAGCTTGAATAGATATTTGTTGGTCTTAAAGCTGCCGCTGGACTCAAACGTTGTCCGACTGTTTCAGACCAACATGGCCACCCACCTGGATCTATTTCCATCACTGTGGGCAACTTCCCTCTTTCCTGTCTGCCTCCCCCCAAAAAAAATATCAGACCCCCCCCTTTTACTGGCTCCTTCCTTCCTGTAGCCCAGGGGTCCTGCAGGCAACTTTGAAATTTTGACACAGTGTGGTGGGTGCAGCCACAAAATGGCTGCCGCCACAGGAGGTGGAGTTAGCCACAAAATGGCTGCTGCAGCTTACCCTTCAGTCACACAATGAAGATCCTCGTGCTGTGGTGGCAGCTGTTGCCAAAGCAACTAAAAAAAAATCTGCACCGCCAATCAAATCTTCAACGGCCAATCACAATCCTTGCTGAGAAAAAGCCCCACTTAGCCCTGCCCACTTTCTAAAAACACTTGGCAGGCACCATGCCGCCCTTCGAGCCACTCCAGTTTTCCAGGCTCTTAGAGGTAAGGTAAGCCTCCTTTGCCACAGTCAAGAAGCTCATACAAAAGAAAGAATTTAAAAATTGTGAAGAAAATATAGAAGAAGAAGAGTTGGATTTATACCCCACTCTTCACTCGGCATCTCAGAGCAGCTTACAGTCTTCTTTTCCTTCCTCTCCACTCAGCAGACACCCTGTGAGGTAGGTGGGGCTGAGAGAGCTCTTTCAAGGACTGCTCCTGAGAGAACAGCTCTGAGAGAACTTGTGACTGACCAAAGAAGAAGAGGAGGAGTTGGAGTCGGATTGATATCCCATCCTTCACTCGGAGTCTCAGAGTGGCTTTCAATCTCCTTCCCTTCCTCTTCCCACAACAGACACCCCGTGATGTAGCTGGGCTGAGAGAGCTGTGAGAGAACTGCTCTCGAGAGAACGGCTCTGAGAGAAACTGTGACTGACCCAAGAAGAAGAAGAAGAGTTGGATTTACGAACTCCTTCCCTTCCTCTCCCCACAACAGATACCCTGTGAGATAGGTGGGGCTGAGAGTGCTCTGAGAGAACTGCTCTTGAAAGAACAGCTCTGAGAGAACTGTGACCGGCCCAAGGTCACCCAGCTGGCCTCAAATGGAGGAGTGGGAAATCAAAGCCGGTTCTCCAGGTTAGAGTCCACCACTCTTAACCACTGCACCAGACTGGCTCTCTCTTTCTCTCTCTCTCTCTTCTCTCTCTCTCTCTCTCTCTCTCTCTCTCTCTGTGTGTAGAAAAGGGTGAAGATAAAAGCGATAACTGTTTGGAAAATAAACACACCACAGGTGGCTAAATTTCATACGGTGGGTGCACTCTTAAGAGGAGAAACATCCTATTTCCTTCCAGTCCAGTGGCCCACTTTTTACGGTGCAGTGGCGAATGGATTTGGGCACCCATGATTCTCCTGTTGCTATTTCCAAAGAGGAGAAAAGATCTAACCCCGTGATGGAACAACAAGAGACTTGAGAATGGTCCCTGAGTGGTAAGAAACAGCACGCCTCCGTCCCTCTCGCCGACGATGGGCCGATAAGGCTGTACAACAAACATGCTGGAACACCAGAACAATCCACATACCTGAACCTCTTGATATTTTTTTCCGAGACTCTAATAAAGAGAACAATGGGGTAGATCTTGGCTCTGATTAGATCCTTCGTGCAGCCGATCCCGGCTTCGAGCAGACAATGTTTGTTCTGAAAACAGGAAGTCAGGAAGAGGCCTGTGTGAGTACCGTTTTCGGGCCTGCGAGCGCACAATCTCCAAATGGACCGAGCCAATCATGTCCCGTTGATCACACTCCAGATAAAGCGCCTTACGTTGAAAAGGACGTCACCTTTTAATGGTCTCCCAGGCATCGGCTTTTCGCTGCTGTTTCTCAACATCTACCTTCTCTCCCGCAGCTCTACAACACTTGCCCAGACTTATGTTTCTTAATCAGCTCCCTCCCTCAACACTGGCAGGGTGCTACCGACTCCTTTCTCAACCTCCTGTTTACTCGCTAACCACATTACCCAGCGATCCCCAACACGGCGCCCCATGTGCTTCGATGGCACCGGCTTACTTCTTGGAAATAAACTCTGAATCGGGTTGCCAATTCTGGGCTGGAAACTACCTGGAGACTTCAGGGGTGGGTCCATGAGGAGAAGAAGAAGAAGAGCTTGGATTTATACCCCATGGCCCTTCACTACCCAAAGGTGTCTCAGAGCGGCTTACAATCTCCTTTCTCTTCCCTTCCCCACATCAGACACCCTGTGAGGTGGGTGGGGCTGAGAGAGCTCTTGACAGAAACTGCTCTTTTTGAAGAAGAAGAGATTGGATTTATACCCCGCCCTTCACTACCCGAAGGAGTCTCAGAGCGGCTTACAATCTCCTTTGCCTTCCCCTCCCCACAACAGGCACCCTGGGAGGGAGGTGGGGCTGAGAGAGCTCTTTTGAGGACTGCCCTTGAGAGAACAGCTCTGAAAGAACTTGTGACTGACCCAAGGTCACACCAGCAGCTGCAAATAGAAGAAGAGATTGGATTTATACCCTGCCCTTCACTCCCCAGAGGAGTCTCAGAGCGGCTTACAAACTCCTTCCCTTTCACCTCCCCACAACAGACACCCCGTGAGGTCGGTGGGGCTGAGAGAGCTCCTGCCCTTGAGAGAACAGCTCCAAGAGAACTTGTGACTGACCCAAGGTCACACCAGCAGCTGCACGTGGAGGAGAGAAGAAGAAGAGATTGGATTTATACCCCGCCCTTCACTACCCAAAGGTGTCTCAGAGCGGCTGACAAACCCCTTTCCCTTCCCCTCCCCACAACAGGCACCTGGAGATCTCTGGCTATTACAATGGATCTCCAGACGACTGAAATCAGTTCCCTTGGAGAAAATGGCTGCTTTGGAGGGTGGAGTCTACAGCATTATACCCTGCTGAGGCCCCTCCCCTCCCCCAAACCCCGCCTTCCCCAGGCTCCACCCCTAAAATTCCCAGGTATGTCCCGACCCAGAGCTGGCGACCCGAGGTCCGCGATCTTCCCACCTGATGCACAGAACTTGAACAGCATCCATGCCTACCCCCTTCGGTTTTCTTAGCTCGCTCGCTAAAAAACCCCAAACAAACCCTGTGTCCAAATGAGAACACACTGATGACGCCAAAATGAAGGCATCGTGTACAAATTGTACGGACGCAATTCAGCTCTGTTTGTTCGGATGCAACGTGTTCTTCTAATTACTCCTCAGGAGGAGGGGGAGATACTGTTCCCCCTGCCGTGTAACAGGGATCCAGCATTAGACACCATCTGTTTGGGCCTGACATTAATATCTTTGTTTTGTACAGGCTACAAGCATGGATGGCTTCAAAAGGGCATTAGATAAGCATATGGAGCAGAGGTCCATCAGTGGCTCTTAGCCACAAGGTATAGATAGGGGCTCTGGGGCAAGTGATGCTCTGTCATCTTGGTGCTTGGGGGGGGTCAACAGTGGGAGGGCTTCTAATGTCCTGGCCCCACTGGTGGACCTCCTGATGGCACCTGGTATTTCTGGCCACTGTGTGACACAGAGTGTTGGACTGGATGGGCCTGATCCAACATTGGCGTCTCTTATGTTCTTATGTACGTCCCTGTCTCTTGCAATGGCTCTGGGTAGCTTTAGGTTTTTTTAAAGAAAGCTCCACAGGTTCCTTCCTCTTCCATATTAGCCGTTTGCAGGTACTCCCTATGGGATAACGGGGCAAGCCCCAGCCCCCTGCCTCGCTTTGAGACATACAAACAGGGCTCATGCGTGTACCCAGGGCTATTTTTGGGCAGGAACGCACAGGAACGGAGTTCCGGCTGGCTCCCGAGATGGCCACGCCCAGCAGGAACTCATTAGCATAATAGGCCACACCCAACAGCAGGAACTCATTAGGATTGGCTACATTAGGGGTGGGTGGCCTAACACGCAAAGGAGTTCCTGCTCCCAAAAAAAGCCCTGGGTTTTGACCACAAACAAGGTAAACAGAATAAGGAGCAAAAGGTGGGTGTGGCTGGATGAGCACACTTCTGGTGACATGGGGGTGTGGCCTACTGTGCTAATGAGCTGTGCTGTCAGGGGTGTGGCCCAATATGCTAATAAGTTCCTGCTGTTGGGTGTGGCCTATTATGCTAATGAGTTCCTGCTGGGCTTTTTCTACAAAAAGAGCCCCGCGTGTACCTATGAATACATGAAGCTGCCTTCAACTGAATCAGACCCTGGGTCCATTGATGGGTGCTTCCGTACATGCTGAATAATGTGCTTTTAATCTACTTCAGAGGGAGGAAGGGAGGGAGGGAGGAAGAAGAGAAAGAAAAGAGGGGAAGGAAAGATGAAAGAAAGAGATAAACAAAGAAAGAAAGAAGAGAGAGAAGAGAGAGGGAGGAAAGAAAGAGAGAGAGAGAAGGAAGGAAGGAAGGAAGGAAGGAAGGAAGGAAGGAAGGAAGGAAGGAAGGAAGGAAGGAAGGAAAGAAGGAAAGAAGGAAAGAAGGAAAGAAGGAAGGAAGCTTTTTGAAGAAAGGTCAGTATCAATACTTTTTAAAAGATGACTGGACACAAAGAGAAAAGAAAAATCCCTAACCTTTCCTTAGGAATACAGGTATCCTGTGCTTGGAAACAAAACAAAATAAAAAAAAACCCATGTCAATTCAAATTAAAATTTTGCACAGAGAAAAAAGCTGAACTCTCCCGCTGTTATTATGGAGATGAGCAATCCTGGGACCACACACTGTGGGAAATAGATTACTTAAAGGCTTGTTCGTTCCCCAAATATCCCACCTTAGACAAGGCTGCCAGCAGTGTCTCTGTACGATTCACTGCTCTGGACTTGCCTCCTCCTCGTCCTCTGCACTGGGTACGATTGCCGCATACAGTCACTCTCAGGACAGAGAAACGTTTAAAATGCTCCCACATACCCCAAATAGCCAGACTCAAAAAGGAGGCCTGCTGCGTGTCTCTGCACGATGCAGTGTTCTGGCCTTTCCAATTCTCTGCACTGAGAGTGACTGCAGCCTTTTATCCCTAGCAATAGAGGCACAGCATTCCCATCACAGGAGCCTGCCTGTTGCTCCTCTGGGCTGCCCTCAACAACTCATGCAGAATAAAGAAATCAAGGCTATGGTCACACAGTCATTTTGATCGAGTTTCACCGCTGTTCCCTCTCGCATTTAAAACTGCTGATCAGACGCCCGTCTCCCGCACCGAAGTTGGCTTTCCTAGCGAGTTTTCCGACACCGGGAAAATTAACTACTTTCCGGGTATTTGCACTCTGAATCCGCGACCTTGCCTATCTGGATAGCCATCTCTCGCAATGATTGTGATTAGGTTGTCTGAACATCCTTCTTCCGGTAGGTTTTTTTTTTTTTGCGACTGTCACCATTGTGCGCATGCGTGCGCAAGTGCGCATATGCAAATAATTTTTTTGGACAGTCTCTGGAGCATTGTTGCACAAAGCAAGTGGTTGGGCAAGGGGTGTGTGATCATTTGAACCTGCTCAAAATATCCCTGATCAAATCTACAGCGGGAACGAATCGCGGTACGCTTGCCGTGTGACCACAGCCTAAGTCTCTGAGGCTGGAGAATTCTTGCTCCGTCGTGCGGTGAAAGAAAACCTTTTTGGATGCAATAATAAAAGCGTGCCTCCAGTTTTAATTCAGAAGAAAGCCCCTCTCAGCTATCAAAACACGTGGGGGAAAGCCCATATGTATAACTGGCTTGTTTTGCAGGGGGTTTTCTGCTGCTCCAAGGGATGGGGAGAAGGAAAGGGAACGGTGTATATTCTTTTCTCCTTTGCAGAGCCCAAATGCACAGACAAGATGAATGAAGCCTTCAAGGAAGGAACGGCTTTGGAGGCAGAGTCTGAGAACCCGAGCGATTTGCTGAAGGCAAATTTCACACGCCGCCTAATGACAGAGCACAAATCCAATTACCTTGGTTGCGACCGCCTCGATGTTTGCAGGGAAAATACACTCGTAGGTGTGCGGATTCCTTTCCCGGGAGTAGATTATCGTTTCGGCTTGGTTTCTCCTCAAAAATTCTTCCTTGGTTATGATCTCTGGAAAAAAGAAGAGGGCAGAGAAATGGCCTTTGTACCTTTCTGGACATGTTCATTTCACTCCACAAAGATGAAGAGAGAAGAAGAAGAGAGACGAAGAGATTGGATTTATACTTCAGGCACAGGGGTCTCAGGCACAGGGGTCTTTCCCATCACCCCCTGCCTGGTCCTATAAACTAGAGTTGCTGGGGATTGAACCTGGGACCTTCTGCATGCCAAGCAGAGGCCCTTCCACTGAGCCAGGGTCTCAGGCACAGAGGTCTCTCCCATCACCTAACACCTGATCCTTTTGAACTGGAGATGCCGGGGATTGAACCTGGGACCTTCTGCATGCCAAGCAGAGGCCCTTCCACTGAGCCAGGGTCTCAGGCACAGAGGTCTCTCCCATCACCTAACACCTGATCCTTTCACCTGGAGATGCCGGGGATTGAACCTGGGACCTTCTGGGGCAGAGTCCCCCCTGGGGCCCGATTCCACGGCGGTGGAAATCAGGCCTCCAAAGCTGGGGTTTACCCGCCACCCGCCCCCACTTGGCAGCCCTAAGAGGAGTAGGGAATCAAACCCAGTTCTCCCAGACTAGAGTCTGCGCTCTTAAACACTACACCAAGTTGGCTCTCAAAGACATTGTGAGGAACATCCCCCAAACAGGAACGTTGGGATTTTGAGAACAGGGAGTGGATGCCAACGCATAATGGCTGTCATGAGGAAGGGCTAATAACAAAATGGCTGCCCTGGGGAAGGAGCCCATCGCAAAATGGAAGGCTGCATTGAGGCCGGGCCCAAAAACAAAATGGCTGCTGTTGGGAAGGAACCAATTTCCAGAATGGAAGGTTCCAAATCAAGAGTCTTCCTACAGCAGAGACCCCCCGTTTTTGAATGAGTGATGCCTCTGGGGTTCTCTTGAAGGACCACTGAGGTGGCGGAAACCCAGGGCTAATTAACTATCGTGTGGCATTTTGTGTAGAAAAGCCAGGAGATTCTGGGAGGGGTTGTTTGGCTGCCGAAGCAGTAGCTCTTTTTTGGCACCACTAGGTGGCGAGCTATGCTTATATTTAGCTTGAGGGGACTGCGACTTGACTAAGCTCACACAGCGAGCTTCAATTAGGGAAGCGGGGAATCGAACCCGGCACTTCAGGTTAGAGTCTGCCACTCTTAACCACGACACCAAACTGGCTCTAATCCAAGACTGCTTTGGGGAAGAGACGCTTTGTCAAAGAAGCAAATGGGAAAGAGCCACCCACTGCCAGGAACCACGGCACACTGGGGGTGGGGTGGGGGCAGAACATTATTAGGATACTGAGGATTTTACTGTGACTGACCAGACAGTACATTGGTGGTGGCTAAACGGCTTAGGAAGGTCTGAGTGTGGTTTACAAGCTGTATGTTCCCTTTTCCTTCTTATTTCTTTTGTTTTTACCTCACATGTTTGTTTTTATCTCATTTATATTTTTTTATCTTCTTGAACCCTGTTGCTACTTTATTACCCACCTGGAGTCTAAGGAAAGAAGGCAGATTATAAATAAACAAAATTAAATCCATTTAAAAACACTTGACGGACACTCTGCTATGCCTCCCAATGCTAGGGCTGGAAAAAGTACAGAGGAGGCAACCAAGATGATAAGGGATTCGGAGCCCCTTCCCTATCAGGAGAGTCTGAAGAGTCCTGGGATTTCTCAGTTTCGCTCAGCCTCTGACTCCCAGTGCCAGGAGGCAACAATGGGGGAAGGCCTTGGCCTCTCTGCCCCGTTGCTGGCCCTCCAGAGGAGTTGGATGGCCACTGTGTGAGGCAGGATGCTGGACTAGACGGACCCTCCCTGGTCTGATCCAGCAGGGCTCTTCTGAGGTTCTTCTCAGGGGAAGGCCTTGGCCTCTCGGCCCCGTTGCTGGCCCTCCAGAGGAGTTGGATGGCCACTGTGTGAGGCAGGATGCTGGACTAGATGGACCCTCCCTGGTCTGATCCAGCAGGGCTCTTCTGAGGTTCTTCTCAGGGGAAGGCCTCGGCCTCTCTGCCCTGTTGTTGGCCCTCCAGAGGAGCTGGTTGGCCATGGTGTGAGGCAGGATGCTGGACTAGATGGACCCTCCCTGGTCTGATCCAGCAAGGCTCTTCTGAGGTTCTTCTCAGGGGAAGGCCTCAGCCTCTCTGCCCTGTTGTTGGCCCACCAGAGGAACTGGTTGGCCACTGTGTGAGGCAGGATGCTGGACTAGATGGACCCTCCCTGGTCTGATCCAGCAGGGCTCTTCTGAGGTTCTTCTCAGGGGAAGGCCTCAGCCTCTCTGCCCTGTTGTTGGCCCACCAGAGGAACTGGTTGGCCACGGTGTGAGACAGGATGCTGGGCTAGATGGACCACTGGTCGGATCCAGCAAGGCTCTTCTGATGTTCTTCTCAGGGGAAGGCCTCAGCCTCTCTGCCCTGTTGTTGGCCCACCAGAGGAACTGGTTGGCCACTGTGTGAGACGGGATGCTGGACTAGATGGACTCCTGGTCTGACCCAACAGGGATCGATCACATGTTCTTATGTTCACTTCGGAAGGCAACTTTTATTGAATTTTGGCATGTTTTCATCTGTACAGGCATTTTGCTTCCCCAAAAAGCTTTGAAGTGGTCAAGGAGAGCTTGCTTGACATACAAAACACATTACACCTCTTCTTCGAAAGCAGTGGCTTGCACCTATACTCACCTTTCCTTCCAGCCTGGAAATCAAGGGGGGGGGGTATGGCAGGGAGCGCCAATGGACCCGTGGTTGGGAGGAGGAGTCAATAGTGGTTGGTGGCCAACAACGGTATCCCTTGGTGAGTGCCCGCTGGGCATGACTCAGCAGCAGAGGACCTGTGTCGCATGCAGATGGTCCAAGATTAAATCTCGGGTATCTTCAACGCGTCATAGAGCACACAGACTGCTCTCTGCCTGAAGTCCTAGAGAGCCGCTGCCTTTCAGACCTAGACGGACCAGTGTTCTGACGTGGAATAAGTCAGTTTCAGGTGTTCGTGAAGGTGTTAGCTTCCAGTATGAGCCTCCTAGGAGAGTTTCCTCTTCTTGGACTCTTTATGAAGCCAGAGAGGGTTACTGCCATCATAAATCTACAAATATATTACTTGGGGGGGAAAGACCTCTGTAATCCCACCCACCCTGACTCTGCCAGCCTGGCTATCGGCCAGAGAGATGACGTTGAGGTTGAAGGTTGCATCGGCGTGGCTGGGAGGCGTCCAGAAGCAGGGGAGGAACTCTTCTCCCAGTTGGGAATGGCCCATCCGGGTTGCCTTACGTCCTGGGAGGGGCAAATGACAAACTTTCTATGTCCCTTTTTCCCCCCATGGAGGGTTAAAGCTTCCTGGGCCCCACTTCTGATTAGAGAAATTATGACACTGTGAAGGTGCCTTGTCTGAATTTTGTCCATCAGGGTCAGCATTGCCTACTCGGACTGGCAGCAGCTCTCCAAGGTCTCAGGCAGAGGTCTTTCACACCACCCACTACCTGGTCCTTTTTAACTGGAGATGCCGGGGATTGAACCTGGGACCTTCTGAAAGCTAAGACAAGGCTCTTCCATTGAGCCAGGGTCACAGGCACAGGGGTCTTTCCCATCACCTCCTGCCTGGTTCTTTCAACTGGAGATGCTGGGGACTGAACCTGGGACCTTCTGCATACCAAGTAGAGGCTCTTCCACTGAGCCAGGGTCTCAGGCACAGGGGTCTTTCCCATCACCCCCTGCCTGGTCCTATAAACTGGAGATGCCGGGGATTGAACCCAGGACCTTCTGCATGCCAAGCAGAGGCTCTTCCACTGAGCCAGGGTCTCAGGCACAGAGGTCTTTCCCACCACCTACTCCCTGATCCTTTTACCTGGAGATGCCGGGGATTGAACCCGGGACCTTCTGGAAGCCGAGCAGAGTCTCTGCCACTGAGCCACAGCCCCTCCCAGTGGGAAAAAGCATTAACCTCCCTCACCACCAGTACTGTAACCCCGATCCATATTAGGCCTTGCCACGGCTGCTTTTGGCAACTAGATCCCACGCCTAAGGATCCAACCACGGATCCCTGGCGCCTCATGTCCTTCGGCCCCGGGATTCCACTGGGACCCAAGCCGTTTCAGAGCTACAGCTTTGGAAATCCTAAAGCGCCAAGTATCACCGGGATGAACAGAATGCGGGGCATGAAGGTGTGGAATGCTGATTATTACAGTTGTTATCCTCCCATTTGCAACCTCCCCCCCTTTGGCTGGCGAGAGAGTGTGACTGGCGGCGTGTTTATCTCCGAGCTAGTTAAATCCGGTGAACTTGAGCATGACCTATTTCAAGAATACAGCACGTGAAGTGCCAGGGTGGGAGAGTAACTGACGTCTGCGTAATTGCAAGCCCGTGTTGCCGTGTCAAGCCTCTTTTTCAAGATTGTATTTCGACAATGACGCCCGCAATGGATGCAAGGACTGGAGGTACAGAACAGGGCGGAGGCACAGAGTAGGCCGCGCTGCTGGTTGAAACCGAGGGCCCTGTATTTATCTGGTCTCCGGTGTAGCACTGGGGGGGAAGCCACCTGTCAGGATGGGCGTCCAAATGCTGCTGAATAGGTTACTTAAAAGTGGGGTTGTACAGCGGAGTAAAATATGGGATGCGAATATCCAGTTGACGGAATCTGTTTCATTTAAAGAAAATTTGTATAAAAGGTTCTATAGGTAAAGGTAAAGGTTCCCTTGCTCGAAAGCCAGTCGAGTCCGACTCTAGGGTTGCGGTGCCCATCTCCGTTTCAAAGCCGAAGAGCCAGCGCTGTCCGAAGACGTTTCCGTGGTCATGTGGCCGGCATGACTCAACACCAAGGCTCACGGAACGCTGTTACCTTCCCACTGAAGTGGTACCTATTTATCTACTTGCAATTTCTTGCTTTCGAACTGCTAGGTTGGCAGGAGCTGGAACTAAAAACGGGAGCTCACTCCGTCATGCGGCAACTCGGGTCTCGAACTGCTGAACTACTGACCTTCCACAGCCTGCAGTTCAGTGTCTTAACCACTTGAGCCACCGCAGCTCCATGGTCTGTAGTAGAGTACTAGATTTGA